ATCGACGTGGAACCAACTGCATTCAACGCATAATCATACAACCAAAAAATGTTTATTGTTCCAACAAAATCGATTCGGTCTTTTTTTTGTGGAGGATCAAAAAATTAAATAAAGAAGGTAAACTAGTTGAATTTTGAAATTTACAAATTGTATTACTTATTTAAAAAAATAAAAGTTTGACAACGCCGTGCATCTGCTTCAAGCCATCCGTCCCCTTCCGATGTGTGTATGTGTACCATAACGCGGATATTAATATGATAAGAAAGTGAAACAGTTAAGTTAATCGTGTGGACCTCCCAGACCGCATTTTTTTAAAAATTGCAGTTGTATTGCCTTTATCGGATTTGCTGAAGACTAAACGACTATTTCTTAAGGATTCGATGGTTAAAGTTTCGGATTAATTCGTTTAACTGTGCTTTATTTTCTAACAATTTATGCACAATGGGATTTTTCAATAAACGTATAAATGGCTAAATAAATTCCTATCAGCTCATTAAGTAAAGACAAAAGAACTTTAAAAATTTAGGAGAAAGCTGAATTTTCGTATAAACCTCCCTATATATGATCCCAATGGTTTTCATCGATAAAGATGTAACATGTGGTCAAATGATGCGACAAACGATTTTGAAAAACTAGTTAACGGTCATTCTCAATGACGAAATTATAACGATCAAATTTATAACTTGAGAAATTTCCTCTACAACTGTCGCTATTACTTTTTAAAGTGAAACTTATTACATCGCCTCAAATTTTTTCGTCCATCAATAGCATGTCGCATTACAGCCGGCCGCGGAGTAGGGGTAAAACTGAAAGGCGCTCGACGGAGCAGCCAAGGTCAATATGGCGGCGCCCAGGGTCTCATGAGCTAACCGTGTAACATTTATATTCTCATTCATTCGTGCAAGTGCATGACAATTACATTTATAGACTGTGAAACTCAAAGAGAAGACGAAATTTTTGATAGAATAACTAAAGTTCAAAATGATTCAGTGATTTAAATAAATATTATTCTCACTTTTTAAGATGCGTCTATCATCTGAAGGATTGTATTCATTATGTATTTCGTACTCTCGTACGCAGATTGAAATTAAAATTTATACAACATCTTGTGGGCCCTTTTGCAGATACTGATGTATTTGTGATAATTCAGTTCGTCGCAGTAAAATTCGAGATTTTAATGCTTCCAATAATTCTAATGCAATTGCACATTTTTGCTGGGAAAGAGTACCTAACATAAATGTTAAAGAAGCGTCAGCCGTCAAAAGATTTGCATCTTTTCGGCATAATGCATTTACTGTTAATTTTACAGGAGTAAGAGCAGCAATAATTAAAGATAATAAAGTAAATTCTTCATCAGAAAAATGAATATCGGAACTAATCTTAATTCATTGGTTAGTAGACGTAAAACATAAACAATCGCTTTATATTGCCGACACCACAGCTTCTCGATGGTGCCATACTCGGCTCGGTATGTGTAATAAATGTGCCTGATATAGATTTTAATACAATGAAATTGTTTGTTTATCTTCAAAAAAAATTTCTTGTAATTAATTAATATTATTTTAAATTAGATTTATATTGTGCATAAATTCAATTTTTATCAACTAATGTAATACCAAAATACCGGTATTTTTACATAAATACCGGTTTTTAATAACGGACAAAAATCGTCC